AAACGCTTTTTCAGAATATTTTCCTTTTTCAAATATAGTATTTAGTTATTTCTATCTGGTTAAAGATATCAAGAAAAATGTAACCAGCTATCTGGTATGTCAACGTTCGAAAGGCAGCGCATCTTTCAATGGATGCGGAACATGGTGTAATCTGACAGTGGGGTATCTTTTTTTAGTTTCTTAGCCACCATAGAACGTCGTAACTCAGAAGAATGTGGTTATTTACGCCAAACGTATTTACCGTACAGAGAGCAGTGGGTAGTGTATGCCGTGAGGACTAGGTTGACTTCAGGAAACTTCACTGCCAACCGAGTGACGACCGAAAATAGACAACTCAAGACAGGCTTGTCTTCTCGATCTGCAGTACTGGATGTATTTGAGAAAATGCTACGAGTAGGGTTTTGGAAGTGACGCATGGAATTCCCCTTGCTAAAAATTCCATTAAAGGATATCCGACCACCAATGGGATGCAATTGTTTAAACCGTTACTCATACGAGTAACATCATTTGCGCGAAATATATTATTAAGTAACTGGGAGTCATATAAGATTGAACGAACCGTTCACGAGAGAGAGTTATTCATGGAAATGGATAGTAAGGGCAAGGGTCATGAAGTAGTTACCGAAGGGGAGACGGAGTGTGAATGTAAGTGTTATGCTTAATGGTTGTGGCCCTGTTTGCATATAGCCAGGGTATTTGATCTGATTAATTGGGGTATTCATAGTCTTATTCCAGATAGTTGGATTATGAACCGAGGCGAAAGGCGTTCAGGTCAGAACTCGACCTTGATAATAGCGGCCTCAAGAAATGTCATGCGTAAGACAGCAAAGTTAGCCCAAGCAGAATTTGTCCTTCAAGAGCTAGACGCCTCCTTGAATAGTTTAGGTTCAGTGCATTAAGATTTTTAATGGTGGGGGCTTTCGATCGGAGTTAATAGGTTGTACCTATGTCTCCTTCGTTGCTGTTGGGCAATTGCACTGACTGACTATCATTGAAGACAACACCTGAACAAACATGAATTAGCAATTTGGTTCAGCCAGGGCATGAGCTGGTTGGCGCAGTGTTAACGCACACGCCTTCCATGCAATGGGTCCGGAGTTCAAATCCCGGACAGGAAGGTGGGTATGCACTACTGATGAGCTCTAATAAGAGCGAAACTGGAGTCTAGTGCTTCCGAATGTATGGTTGAATCGATGAACTGAGGATTGTTCGTGAAGGTGAAGTCCGAAGGATAGTCAGTCAAATCAATCAATATCCATCATCCCACACACACTACTCACAAGTAACTGTGAGTTTAATACGGAGTTATGGAAGTTATATGGAAGGTGCAGTCCTTGTTGATGGAGCTTAGCTCGTTTTAAAATTCCACCATGGGACACTTTTCAAAAGCTGATGAAAGGTCAATTTCTTTCGTATTTGTCCATGATCTTTGGCTGAAAGTTTCAGAATAGTATTTAGAATACTTTGGGACAGTTACATGGAGTTTGGGTAAATTTCATAACTCAGAAATATATCATATATATATAATAATAATAATCATAGTACATTTCTCAAAGCCCGTGAAGCGTGCTAGTGTGCATGATCAAATGTACAGCAATGTAAAAATGACAGCGGAAACAAAAAGTAGTAGTACAGAGTGTAAGAACGTAATTTCCAAACGGGTAAGGACGATATCATAAATGTTAATACGGTGAAGAATGAAACATAAACCGGAAAAGGTCATATGACGGAGCATTGAGGGTGATGTGATATGCAGAGCAAATCAATGTAACGGTTGTCTTATGAAAAACATTTGGCAAGACAAAACTGGAAGTTAGAATATTCGTTCAAGAGAAAATGTGCGGAAACGAGTTCGAAGAGCAGGTGTATAGTGAAGAGGGAACATTATTAATTCCGGAAGAAGTGCTGCAAGCGAGCTGGAGAAGAGCGGAGTGATTCAGGAAGTGATGTCAAATGGCTTATAAATAAACAGTTCCCAATGTCGATACGGCAGGAAATGCTTTTGTGAACACGGAACAATGGGCTTCGGGGCTTCACCGTTAACAAATGTTTTGGTTTGTTTTATTTATATTATTTGGGCGTAGGTCGCTTTGATGTGGGTCTGACTACACACTAGTCACCCAACCTTAGAACACCTTGTAGGTGAGGCAGGGGGTGTGATCCTCAATCTGGTCCGGAATGCGGACGCATGTAGTCCAAACGGTGGATACAACCGCGCCCAACAACTCTTGTCGGAGCCAAATTGTCCATTGTGGGTGTAGACTCCAAGTCTTCGGCAGGCCCAAGCCAACCGAATCTGGAAACTCGGTAGTCTGGGTTAATACCCAGCTGAGAAGGGAAGAGGGGAACAGCATGTTGCGAGAAAATATGCGGAGAGCGTAAGTGCCCGAAAGTATATATATTTAAAAGAGAGGTGCGCTGGGGTAGAACCCAGCCGAGAAGAAATGAGGGGGAACAAAGCATGTCATGAAATAATATACGGAATGCGCAACGGCCCGAATATATATATATATATATGTAATAAAAAAGACGCACCAAGGACAGATCGCAACCATCAAAGTTGAAGAGTAATGACTGCCAAACTTTCAGCATGTCCCGAAGATAAGGATCGATCAGGTGGTTGACATGGAGGGACGAGCCTATATCTTGAACGGATGCGGGCATTAAACCTAAAATAGGTTTTCACGTGGCAAGTTTGTGTGACACTGAACAAGTTTCTAAGCTCGACCGGTGTACTGATTAGAAATAAGTTGAAGTGTGAACACTGCTGCATGTTGAGCATGTGCAGCGGAGAACAGGTGAACGAGGAATAGAGATAGAAGAACAGACCAAAAGCGTTGAGAGGTATGGGTGACAAACCTGGTGTAGGTTTTCACTTGGCAAGTTTGTGTTCCACCGATCGAGCTTTGAATCTCGACCAGTGTACTGATTAGAACTCAATATTAATTTTATTCTTTATGTTAGGTAAATTTTCTTCTAGTTTTTTTTGGTTGTCGGCTGCCTCAGGGATTCTGGCGTTATTGTGGAAGTCTCCAATAGAAGAAATAATATTTAGGCGGTAGACGTCTCCAATTGGAAATTTTTCATGGCTCGGAAAATGGGGATTGATCAAATGACCCTGAACTTTTTGAATGAAACCGGGTTTGGATGCTGCGAGCTTATCAATCGTCCTCTTTATTGCAGTCCTATGTGTAGGTGGAGGTGTC